GTTTCAAGAACTGTATTCCAAAAGCAATTGGTTCAATGGAAGTTACTTCTTATTATAAGTTCTATCATGCCCATCATTTTATTAGCCTGCTTTCACTTTTCTGCATGCATGGATGAATATGAGATTTCTTTCAGAAGTAAAGCTGTTGGGGGAATGGAAGAGATGTCAAATCTTCAATCCTGCCATGAAATTGGTTCAGGTAAGGAATCCATCGACATGAAAATCCGAGGAAACTCGTCCATATTCCCAGTTTTCAAGATAACCCATGGGCGTTGCCCCATTCATGTACTTCTCCTTTACTAATCTAGAGTCATGATCATGCTTGTTCAAGGCGTGTTGTCTAATAGTTGGATGTTCCGGTCATGCTTGTCTCACATGAAAACTTTTGATCTTTAGACACAAATTGAGATCATGAAAACTCCGGATCTTTATTGACCTAGGGTCATACTTGTCCCACGTAAAAAAAAAATCTTTTCAGCTAATCTATATTACAAAATAGAGTTCTCTTGCAACTAAAGGTCCACATGAAAACTCCTAATTTTTATACATAGAACTTTAATCCGGATATTATTTATAGATTTTAAGTTTAATGTCGTTAATACAAGAAGTTGGTCACAAATCTACATGGTTGAGGTATGGAGACGAAGCGGTGGAGCTATGTTCAACCGTGTTTAGATCGAAGTATTGTTGAGCTAAGTTAGGTCTTAAACTAATATTTGTTTCGGTACATTTGGATCGTGGGTCATATCCAACCATATTTTAAAAGATTGCATATCCAAAAAAATAAAAAAATATTTTAATTTGGCAAAACGAACCCCCACGCATTGTGTTCATCTTCTCACGAGTTGATAACTTGTTGCAAAGTAGGAGCACAAATCAAAGAGAGACAAACTTTAGCTTTCACTTTATATGCTTTGTTAATATTGCACGATCCAAAGAGACCATAGCTTTCTCAGTCAAAAGAAAATCTATGAACTTTTGAAACCTTTTTTATCTGCTTGGTTTTTCTTTCTCTCTTCTTCTTCCTCATAAAATCCCATGCTTTTTTCCACTCTTTGATTAATATATACATAAAAAACAGCAGACACGACCAAAAACCAAGCCTCATATACCTTTTTATCCCAACAAAACAACCTCACTCGGCATTCCTGAGGTTATTTCGTCGATGCAACGCTTGTGTGTTTTTATTTACTATTACAGGCAGAGAGACTTTCTTGTCAACTTTTTCTTTTCTTCTTTATTTTATTGTTGGTGGAAAATCAAATCTTTGCCTTCTTTTTTTCTTTTTTGGTTTCTCATTCTTTGATTTCGATCATTTTCCATGTCTCTAACTTTCATGTTCTCCCATGTATTTGGCTGTCATTTAGGAATATACCTTGCACTTGGATTGGATAAGTCTTCGACAACACATTTATCTTGTCTGCTCACTCTAACAACAGTTTGGTATTGATATATGATGTCAAAAATTGGAATGTTAATATACAATATTTACTATAATTGCAAAAAAAAGTTGATAATTTAGTTTCATATAAGAATTATTAAAGGATTTGGAATGGAAATAATAAGAAAACCATAGTATCTGAATCACTCTTGATATCATATTAATTGCTCATTTTCTTTGTCGTAGTAAATTATCATATCATATTCATTTTGGTTTACTAACATAGTTTACAATCTGTCACGTGTTTATTATTTCTGGAACCGTTGAAATGTTGAATTTTCTATTTTTTTTTCTTTTTTGTGCTCATTTGAATCTCTTATCATAACGTTACTTTACAAGTATAAATCATCCAATATTTAAATTTTGATAAGTTAGAACATGCCCATCAAGCTATAAAATAAAAATAAAAATACTCTACCTATTTAATATGGCTATAATATGCCCATCAAGCGATAAATGGTTGAAATTAATTAATATGATCTAATTAACTTGTGTTAATTATTATTATTTTTTTTTTATAATTTCCACACACATCTAATTTTGAATTAAAAAAGAAGAGAGAAACTAATTTAGATTAATAAGGTGAATAATATATATTACATTTCCATGTCACATTAGAATTTGAAATACCCATCAAAGACTAATAAAAATATAAATATCCTAAGTGACATTTATTATTTCATTCTCATGAAGAAATTTCCTCAATTTTTGTTAAGAGTAATAGTTGAAAGATATTTGCATGCATGAATTCTCCTTCTCCTGCATGGGAACAGAAATCCGGTAAAGGTCCGACAGCCGAGCATGAAGTGCCACAAATTCCGACCACAACCTCTCATTTTGTCTTCGTACCATACAATAACGGTTCAACACTAAGTTCAGCTGGCTTTTCAGCTCCTGGTTCTTCACCTTCAGCCGGTCCGTTTGAACCCCTAGATTCTCCAAATGCCTCTTCTTCCGCAACCTCAACCGCCTCGCTGACTCTCGGTTCGATATCCTTCTCCTTCGTCTCCTCTCGTCGTCAATCAAAGAGACCGCTCGGCTCGAGTCTTGCGAACCGGAGTTTGATCTGGCTGGATCTTCGAGCAGAGACCAAAGCTCCTGGATTTCGGCCGGTGTGAACCCAGATTCCTGAACGGGCCTACGAAACCGGACAGCTTCTTCTTCAGAATAGAACATTGGGAAAGAGAATGAGTTGTAGCTCAAAGAGGAAGGCTATGGATGAGAGAGAAAGGGAAAAGGGAAGGAAGGAAGAGGAGAAAATGGGTATTTAAAGAGGAGTGGGAGGGGACACCTTGGCCCCTCACAGGGCGAAAATGGCCATTTTCACTTTCTACATGGATAAAATTTGAGATACTAATCTACTAGTTGTGCACTTCGGTTGTTCCAAATGGTATTAGAGCTCGACACTGGACGATGTTACAGTGAGGAAGCTGAGGCCCGAAGGGGAGGCACTAGGTGGTGTGCCAGTAAGGACGCTGGATCTAGAAGGGGGTGGAATGAGGGTCCCACATTGATTAGAGAAAAAAATAAGTGTCAGCGAAGACGTTGAACCTTAAATAGGGTAGATTTTGAGATCTCACGTAAGTTAGGAAGGTGAACTAAATATTCGCATTCAAAAATTATGGGAAGAAATTTAGAAAAGAAAGTCAAAATCTACAAAAGTGGGGTTGAACAGTTATGAAATAGGTTGAAATGTTGGTAGGATATAGTTAGAGGTAAAAAGTGGGAGTAGAATCTAGGAGGTGGCTGGTATGGCGGGTGTAAAGTTAATACTAAAAGTTGATGGGTGGAGAGAATTAAAGGAAGATTATAATAGTGATACCAAGGTGGGAGATTATCTCTTCCTTCTTCTTCGGTAGCCCATAGGACCCATCAAAAAGCAGTAAACTTTAGAGAACGAGCGCACATTTGTCAAAAGCATGGCAGAGCGGCATTGATGAAGATCAGCACCCGATTTGTTTATCTTTTTGGTCGAAAAAGGGATAAATTTGGTAGTGGGGTCTCCCATTTTTCTTCTTTTTTTTTCTGGGTTTCTCCTCAGAAGGATAGAAGATGAGGTCTCTTAGCTTAACCACGAAGAATCAGATAAAAACGACAGATTAGACAAAAACCCTTTTTCAGAAATGAAGAAAAAAGAAAAGGGTGGTCATCAACAAGCTTACCAAAGCCCAATATTGTGCCCATCATCCTCAAACTCACATGCAAAAGCTTCAATTTTTAAGAACCATCATTTTATTATTCAAAAAGCTTTGCAAATTGAAATCTAAGCAACCCCAATATATTCCCATGACAGTTTAGCGCAGTTAAATGTCGGAAACTTGGGCGGTTTTTTAAGTTAAATTTGATTTTAGTGCATTTGTACGAGTGGAGGCTAACATGCATGGACGGCAAAGGTGGTTTTTTTTTCTTGTTTTTAGCTGAACTTTGAGGGCAAAAAAAGTGTGAGGCTATTTCTATATTTAATGGCATAATCCATTGCCTTTTGGCTTAATTTTTCCTTCTTTTATCAGTCGGCTTCATGTGCTGCAAACTAAAAACCAAAAACACTGGATTTCTTTTGGATAGGGTTTCTTGGTTTCTTTGAAGCAGTGTTCTGAAACAAAAACGACCTGGTTTTGAGATTTTTGCTTCTTAGTGGTACTACGATAATGGAGGGGTTATGTCCGAGGTGGAAGGGTAATGGGCTTTCATTGTTGGGCTTGAGTGCAAACTTGCTTAGGCCCAAATGGAACGTAATAGGTGAGATCTCACGTCCGTTGGAGGAAGAAATGAAGCATTCCTTATAAGAATATGAAAACTTGTCTCTAGTAGACGTGCTTTAAAACCATGAGACTGACGACGATAAACACCCAGCGGTGTACCAGCGAGAACGATGGGCTCCCAAGAAGTGTGAATTGTGAGATATCACATCGGTTGAAGAGGGTAACGAAATATTATTTATAAGGGTGAGGAAACCTCTTCTTAGCGGACTACTGTGAGGTTGACGACGATATGTAACGGGCTAAAACGAACAATATCGGTTAGCGGTGAACTTAGATTGTTATACTACATAGTTCGGGTAAACTAAAGAAAGACCTACTAGTATAAAGGAGAGGATACACCTAAATTAGTCGAGGCAAGGAACATGTCCCCTTTAATCTTTTGAGTGACATATTTTCCGTTCTTGAGGCATTCGTAAGGGAAACATATAAATAGATGAATAAATCTCTTAATCCATTTAACAATAACGTAATAATAGTTATTAACATTAATTATAATGGTTGATTAGTTTACTATGCCCACTGTTATTACTATTTAATCATCTCTAATGTTGCTTCGTATTTTCTTTGGATTCCCCGGTGGTTGTTGGCGATAAAAGTAAAAGGCATTACTTTATTTAAATAATGCACAACATTATCACTCCCATTTTTACAACATTATTTAAAATTATGGCCCCAGGCCCTCCACCCTTTTTCTTTATTAATTTCTTTTTATATTTCGAAATTTGGAAAAATAATTTTTTCAAAAATCAAAGGAAAAAAAAAGCTCGATCATATGAATTGAGATATGAATCCATTGGTGAATCCAAGTGGAAAAAGAGCACTTGAGTTGTTATTATAGTAATTAATGCAGATTGAGAATGAATTGAAGCAGTTCAGACATTCCAGTTCTTAATTTAGACTCTAAAGCAGTAATTTGGGTTGATTTCATCTCCACAAAACTTACAAAAAAAAACAGCAAATTTCTCAGATTCAGAAGCTCCTATATATCACTTACCCAAGAAAAGGAGGAGCTTTTTGATTTGGATTATACAAGATAAGAAGCAGCTCATTAGATTGCATCTACAAGTGGCTGACACTTCTTGCCTTTCACAGTCCTCCTCCGACCAGCAGCAGCGCCGTCCTGTTGAAGGTTCCCGTCGTTTGGAATTAAGGGGGCGTCGTTTGCCTCATCGCCGTCATCCTCAGCCGTGGCAATACGAATACAAGAGCATCGTTCCAAGGATCCAAAGAAAGCTGTCACAAAGCCATTGATGAGCCAAGTTGCCACACCATCAAGCTTCCCACATGCTGGAGAGGCATGGCTTGGGGAAGAAGTTCTTACTCTTGGCTCCATAGAACTTGATCTGATGGAGAAGAAGCTACTGCAGGTGGAAGTAATGGCAGCCATGAAAGATGAGATTTGAAGCGCTGTCTGTGGCTTAATCAGAATCAGAAACAGAGACAGAGACAGAGTTATGAAAGCTCCAAGCTATAGCAGCTTATAAGTTCCAAACAAGCATCTTCTACCGACCCTGTTTTAATAATTAAGGGTTGAATTTTGAAGCATGCCCTTGACACTGTTAAATTGCCGACAAATTTGGTGGTATAAATCTTGTTGAAAGAACAGTGGAAATTAATCTCAAAACATTGATCTTTATAGAAGAAAAAGAAAAACAAAAGTTGCTATCGAAACGTGCAAAGGCAAATCATGATTTGGGCTCATACAATTACAAAGGCACATTCAAAATCAGAGGCAGTAAAACAAAAATAAAAGCAAATTCGAAAGAAGCTTGTAAGATTATGCCATACCCTCAATGGTCCTATGGGGCCTGCACCAATGTATTTGCCGCCTCTTATAGCTGGAAAATGAATCTGAAACAATACATATTTATTTAGCTTGAAAAGTGGGGATGGTTTTTCTGTTAATAATGAAAAGTGAAGACAATGGGGGCATTCCAATATATTTGAGGTTAGTAGGAAAAGGAACAACGAGGGCTTGAGAGGTGATGTGTGAGATCCCACATCCGTTGGGGAGGGGAACAAAGCATTCCTTATAATTTTTCCTTAATAGATGCGTTTTAAAAACTTTGAGGGGAAGTCCGGAAGAAAAAGCCCAAAGAGGACAATTTTTATTAGCAGTGGGCTTGAGCTGTTACAAATGATATCAAAGCCAGACACCGGGCGGTGTGCCAGCGGGGACATAGGGCCTCCAAGGGAAGTAGATTGTGAGATCCAACGTCAGTTTGAGAGGGGAACAAAATATTTCTTATAACCTCTCCTAGTAGACACGTTTTAAAAACTTTGAAGGGAAGTTCGAAAGGAAAATAAGACAATATTCGCTAGTGGTGGACTTAGGATATTACATGATGGGCAAAAGAAATCATAAATCATAATACATGGGCCTCTCTATTACTAGAAAGCATGATTCTAAAGAGCTACTTGCATAAACAAATGTTACAACAAAAGTGGACATTAATGATAAAAGAATGGGATGATAGTAATCATGAGACCCAAATGCTAAAAATGCACATCATCATGGGTTTAACACCCACCTTCTCACCTATAAGCAAACCTACTGGAAAAGAAATGCCAATTGGAAAGAACTTGATCCATTGTCCGTGTAGAGTATGTTGAGGAAGTTTCCCTCCCCCTGCATCAGAATCTGGCGAAAACTCAAACCATCGCAAACGAGACATCCAATATGGTGTGCGCAGTCTTATGAAGAACATCCATTTAGTTTCAGAAAAAAAAAAAATCATTGTGATCTGCAAAACAGTTAAAAATAGCCTAGGGCTCTGCAAAATAGTTCCGTAAGAACAAGCTAAAACAGGATGAGTAGCCCACATGCCAAGAACAACAAAATCTGTCCTCTAGTGAGGAATGCTAAAATAATATGAGCTTTTCGCAAGGACTTGCATGTTCTCATAGAACAGCTATAATTGGAGAGATCTCTGTGGACAGCTCAACAGACAAAGAAACTTGTACCTCTTATGAGAACCAAAAATAAAAATCATATGAAGCTGCCTATATTCTAGAGTGAAACATGCATCATTGAGAACTTGCTATGATCCATCGAGTATTTTGAACAATGGATGAAATTGCATTATGTTTCCAAGTCATATTAGAACAAATGGAAAGCATCTTGTAGAAAAACCAGAGAATCAGAGCTTAACACGCCTTTATATAATTGCAGTAATACAAACTAGCTAAGAAATACTGAATTTTTGGTCAAACTGCCCCCATCACAGACATGAGCTTCAAAGCCTTACAATCTAAATAAATTATCGACAGAAAAGGTGGAAGTAATTCGTTTTCAGTGATTTGATTCCCATTCCTCCAACAAGGTCTAGGCACACTCATTGCTTAGTTCTCATATATGTATTTGTTCAAGAAGTATCATTGTCATTAAAATTTGAATGATATGGAGAAAGTACAAAACCTTCCCTAAGTGCAACAATGGTGTATATACTTTCTAATCTAAGTGGCTTGCTTTATAACTTCATCCGGCTCTATATTATGCAGGTAACAGAAGTCTGGTGCCACCAAAAACATGTAGATATAATGCTAAACAAATTGTAACAAGGACAGAAGACTTAGCGCTGAAGTATCTGATGACTTGCAATCCCCTACCCACAACTTCATCATGAACTATATCAAGACTTCTCTTCAGACCATCCATGAGCTTCCACAACAAAAATTCCACAAAAGATCTTGTTGTTTCAAAGGTCACCCTACCAGTTAAATCAAGCACAAACTTACGATTTCTAGGAACTGCCAAAGTAGATGAAACCGCGCCAACCCACCCATTTTGGCTATCCTCATTTGAGCTGGCCATAGCCATCTTCTTTGGATATGCTCCTTCAGAAAAGGGGTTGTCTCCTATCTTCGACAGTCCATTGCGGGATGAAACCGGACTCAATTTCGAAGTCGATCGCGAGCTTGTCAATACCTGGTGAGATGTTTTTACTAGAGTTTCCACAGCGCCATTACAAACAGAAACAAGCATGTCCTTCACCTTGTCCTGATGCGTGGGATTGGTCAATCCACTAAACAAATCATTGTACACATTAACATCCATTGTTTTATCAAGATATACAGCAACTGCAGTGCTAACAAAAACTTGTATGCAATCCGCTATAAGATTTTTGCTTTTCTCATTGGAGGCCACAGTTACCCATCTGGGCACGTCTGGAAATTCAGATCCAGATTTGTAAGAACTTGAATTTCGACTTGCATCATCAACTGATCCAGGGATCGAGTAATATCCGATAACCAAGTTCTTTGCAAAACTTCCAACCACAACAGACGCAAAACCAGTCCCAGCTGTTGAGAAAAGCTTCTGAACGACATCAGAAGTAAAGCTCGAATTCGCCAAACCAGCCTCCGCATTTTGTTCATTCTTTGACAGAGATTTATAACCTCTCATCATCCCAATCGTAAAAGCCTCGGTGATCTTTTCCAGAGACTCCGAAAATTCCTCAGATTTTGCAATTTTGGAAATTTGCTTCAAGCTGTTGGGAATCTGGTCGGAATCAGATTTCAGAAACTCCTTCAAGTCCTTAGAAACTACTCCAATAGCTTCAGAAGAATCCGCAACCATTTCAGCAACGGAAATCATGGCGCCCAAGAGCTTCATCAACTTCTTCCTCCTCCTCTCGACAGAAGGCAAATGATAGACCTTGTAAGCACCGTAACCAGAAACCCCCATGACAGTCAATAGAATAAGCCATTTCTTTCTTCTCTGAGAGAATCCCAACCCCCTTCTAACCAGTTCAGAATCCATGACCCGAGAGCTAGACTCAAAAAAAACCCTAGAACCAAATCAAACCGAAACCTAGATTTGAGATTGAAATGCTCGAAATAGAACGAAAATGGCGAATTGAGTTTTCCCTCTCGATGAATGGGAACAGAAGAAATCCAATAAATAAAACAGAATCACAAACCTGCTTGGGGTTGTGCGAAGTCAATGAAGATTGAGGGGTCAAACCTAGAAGAAATCGTAAATTTCCAGAGAAAATGCAACTGGCGGCAAGTGGGAATAGCAACAAAACATGGAAGGAAGGTGAGTACAGGTGATTGGCTTGAAATGAGCGTTGGGGTTTGGGATCCTTGTTACGAAGATGATGCGATAGGATTAGAATGCCATCTGCTTACACAAAATATAAAGTTTAAGATACGAAAAATAAGATCAGAAGGAATTGGAAGACGAGTTCATCTACGAGTCGGTTTTACCGTTCTTACACGGAAACACCAAAATCGCAGGTGAGAATGAAATGACCAATCAGAATGACAAGTGCGTTAGGATCATGCTAAAATATTGGAGTTCAATCGCGTGATCTGAAATATTTAGAAGTAAAATATCCTTTTTATTTTAAAAAAAAAACTAAAAAATTTATCTATTTTTATTCTAAATTTTCTATTTTATTGAATTATAAGTATATTTTTTTATTGAATTTTGTTAGGCAAACTAGACTCGTTCAACTGTCGTTTTTTGTACAGTTGAAGAATAATTTAGTAATGGTTTAAACAAAATTGCAACAAATGTTTAATTTTCAACGTAAAAATTGATTTTTTTTTTTATTTAAAATGAGACATTTCTAAATTGATGCCATTATTATTAGCATTATTACCATTTCTGGTTAAATTTAATGTCATTTATGATTTAAATACCAAACCAACCGTATTTTCATACTCAATTAAATAGGCTAGTTTATTCAAAGTAATCTTAATTTATTATTAATTTATGGAGTTTTGTTACATTTTCCTAACCCTAGAAATCTAACTCCAAACATTTTTATTTATATGTAACTGCCAGACTCACTGCCTACACGAATATTATCCTCTAGGTTTTCCTTTCGGACTTTTCCTTAAGGTTTTAAAACGCGTCTACTAGAGATTTCGGAATGACCAACGTCCTTAGCACACCTCCCAGTGACGGACTCTGATACCATTTGTAACAGCACAAGCTCACTGCTTCGTTCCCCTCTCCAATCGATGTTGAATCTCACAATTCATCTCCTTGGGGGCTTGTGTCTTTAGCACACCACCCGGTGACTAGCTCTAATACCATTTGTAACCATCCAGCACTAACGAATATTATTGTGAGATCTCACATTAATTGGAAAAAAAACAAACTCTTGAGTTATTTTATTTGCTCCACAGCTTCTGGACATTTGTTAAATGCTGAAAATATGAGTGGTTGGCAATGATTTCCCTTACGAAAGGAAAAAGGAACCCTTTTAGCCACTCCCGTTTCTGTTGCACTCTCCCTGTCTTCCGTTTCTGTCATCCTACAATTCTTTATCCTGCTTGTCTTCTTTCTCACTTACAAAAACAGAACAAATCTTATCCAGAGTGATTGTGGACACTACGCTTCCGTTCAATTCCTGATATCAATTTCAAACAAACTAGCTAATATTCAAGTACTAAAATAATGGACCAACTTGCATTCCCACGGCAACAGGATTGTAACGAAGCCATATCTGCGAGTACGACAACTAAAGCTATATAGCATAATAGCTTCATGGAGTAGAGAAGGGTAAGAGTACAGCAATGAAATAAGAATAAGAAAATGGCCCATCACGGTCCTTCTGTACATACCGATACCTGTAATGGACGAGACAGAGACGCAACTTCTTTCAAAACGAAGCCCTCTTTCACTTTAAAATTCAAATACAGAAATCCAACGGAACCCTCCTTCTCAACTGCCTCAGTTACATAATTCGGTGGCTCCTTTGGCGTTTTTTAGCGGTTTCTTCTGTCAGACAGCTTACAATGAATCTCCATTCCTGACAGAAGAAGAGTTTTAGGTATCTTGGAACGCCTGACAGACCAAAAGGATGAGGGCAATCGTCGTAGGGTATTCCGTTTTCCCTTTTTGTCTATTTACTGATACATAATTTACACAACTCCCAAGCAAGAAACCAAACACAAACACAGTATCAAGATACACTCTTCCGAATTGGAATGATCATTCATATCATTTACACACAATCTTGTCACCCAACCCACTAAGGCAATTTCAGACGGCTTTATGGACTCGGTATCGGCAGACCAACAATCTTGTCAGACTGACTTTGTAATTCATTTACACTCATCAGCAAAGCATACACAATTTGAACCAACACCTTGATTTCTTTTTTCTTTTGTTCTTTTGTTGTTGAACTTCCCTATTATTTGGAAGCAGTCTTGAATTTAGCTGGCAGAACCATATCATCATCCTCGAGATCACTGAAAGAAATATCTTCTTCGTTCTCAAGAGGGAGGATGGTCTTATTACAACCACCCAACTCAGAGTCTTCCTCTAGCCAGTCGTTGTCTGACTCATCCTCGTAGTTCTGAACAAAGAATTTTGAAGAAGGCCCAATCGTGGAGTTTCTATCCTCGTTCTTACTTATAGGTTTTTCAACAATAACAGACTTATCGATGAATTGCGTCCCAGAACTCTCTATTTGATATTTCTCAGTCTCATAATTGCTTGGCTCAGACGTAAATGACCACGGCTGCCTCAATCCAGAATGATTATCATGGAATGCCATGGGACTACCGTCTTCCTGCAGCATATCACAGCTGTCTTTTAACTCAAAAGTGTCTCTTCCACACCAGTAAGACTCTGGCTTGGTCTGCTTTTGTAATTCCTGCATCCACATTGATCTTGCTTCTGCTACCTACAAGTTTGAAGAATCCTTATTCTATCACAAACATGACGTTTCAATCAAAGGAAGCAGAAATAGTCAATAAAAACAGTAAAATACAATGTTTGAACGTCATATGAATAAAATGAATTTTTCTGTACCATAGCATATAGATCATTTTTGTACGTTTAACTATACATGGGATCCTAAATTAATAATTTGCACCACCATGCCAACCATGTAACAATATAGAAAGTACATAGTTTAACTAGAGAAATTCCATTGCGATGTTAAAAGTCAAAGGAAAGAAAAAGTAGTCAACCTGTGGAGTAGATAAAACCTCCGCATCCTGCTTATTGAGTCTTGAATGCAAGAGCACAAAATAGACCTTCCAAAAGTAGCTCTCACTCATATGGCAAGGACAGAGCTCAATTCTGAGAGCAGCTAATCTAGGAGCAAGACGTTCAATAGTGAAAGCATGCTCTTTTTGGGCATCAGACATTTCAAAATCTAAAACAAGAAAAAGAAGGGTCTAAAGACATAAATATACAGGGTTCAACAATGTGAAAAAACATCATACAAACATTTAGTTAAACAACAAAAAGTCCAAAATTTCCACATAAGCACATTTAATCATATAAGTGGATCACCATATAACATTTCTTTCTCATTTATCTTGCATATCCAAGCATAAGAGATGGAATTATGATTGAATTCAGTGTAAGGTATAGTCTTGAAGTTCAAAAAACTTGGTTATAATTGATTGTATAAGACCAAAACACTGTATTTGCACTATAAATGATTAACATAATTGATAAAGCCTCTAATGCAACATATGATATGCTAATTATATTGACAGATCAAGGAAAACCAACAAGTGCCCAGGTTTTGGAGAGACCTAAGTCTTTCCCTCAATGCACAACACTTTGCTATCTTCACATGTGTGAATTCACTTCATACATGTCATTTTCAAAAAAGGGTCCCACATCACGAAAAGGATTCATGCATGCCTTCAAACTACACAAGGGAGATTCTCAACACTTGACAAACTGACACGTTACATAGCAAGGCAATCACTTAGACTCGCGAATCATTCACCAAGTGTAATTGAACTGAATAGCGGGTTTATCCTTCCTATCAAAAACAATGGCGCATTTCATTGAAGTCTCCATTCGAGGAGAAGAATTTCCTAAATCATTTCATAAACGAGTCCAGCATCAAGTTAACATTTCATTCAAAAACAATGGCACCTAAGATTATTAGTGGAATTCGCACCATTCAATGACCCTCGTCCTATATCCGATGAAAACGAATAAAATTAAGACCAAATAACTGTATCTACTTCGTGGGGAGTTCAATCAACAAGCTTCTAATGAATTGGATAGTAAAATTACCGAAACAAACATACCATCGTCGTCCTCCTCCTCGTCAATTGGGAAATCAATCCAAGTCTCAGGGTGCATTGCAATGTTCGTAGCAAACGTCAGCACTTCATCAGTGATCCCAACAACATCTCCCCAATCCACCTCGTAGCATTCCCCCTGTGAATCCCCGGATTTCGCATACGCTTCATGGTTCGAACGCATCTTCAAGACCTCAATCGGATCGGACGGATCCACTTCGTCCTTGGAGATCGACGGATCAGACTGATTAAACGCCTCGAACGGCTTCCAATCGGAAGAGGCAGCGAGATCCCCATCCAGCCGGGGATGAGAAGGCGGCGGCAGAGCAAGGAAAGAGGCGACGCCCCAAAATTGGCGGGTTAGGGTTTGTTTGAATTCAGTCAAGTCCCCTCTGACGCGGCGAGATAATGCTTCGTCGTCGAGTTCGGATTGGGACTCCATCTGGTTGCGTGGAATGGTAAACGGAGAAGGAGATGGAGGATCAGAGTGAATGGGCGAAACGACAGCGTTGTGTTCGTCATCTTCGTCATCTTCGTCATCTTCGTCATCTTCGTCATCTTCGTCATCAAGCCGAAGGGTGTTGGCAATGGAGCGAGCCAACCACGACATTGTATCCAATTGGAATGGTGAAGAAAGTGACTGCTTGAGACTTGGTCTCTTAATTTGGCGCTATTTATCGGTCGCCCTATTATTTATTTACTTTTAATTTATAAGAATATTTTCGTTAAATTATATTTTAAGCTTATTTTAATTTGTTCTTTACGTTTGCACATTTTCCAAATTATATTTTATTTTTATTCTTCTTCTTCTTCTTCTTTTTGTTGGTGAAGGTTAAAATTGAGTGATAGTAAATTTATTCAGCGTGTTAGTATAAGTTGGTAGAATTTTAAATGATAAATTAAGCAACTAAACACGAAAATATAATTACATTTTCAAACTAATTTAATTTGGAAATTAAATTAATTAATCCTATTTTCTTTCAAAATTTAAATTTAAGTTTAGAATTCAAACCATTCGGGTATTTTAGTTGTGTTTTAATATTAAAATATTCCATTTTTTCTATTTTTTAAAATGCATAATTAAATTTTGTTATTTAGCTTGTTAAGTCTATTTGGACCGATTGTTGAGTCGGCCCAAACAACTTTTGGCCCACATTTTCGTTTGCTTTCACTGTTTTCCGGCCCAAACAACTTTCGGCTCACATTTTCGTTGCTTCACTGTTCTCGGCCCAATGTTTTTTTTTTTTTTTTTTTTTTTTATAATAGGCCTATCCAATT